AAATGCAAGGGGGAAAAGGGTCATGTACAACACAGCAACTATAACTGCACATTTCGATGCAGCAAGCATAAGTAAAAACAAATTAACTCTACGGCCTTTAACAGAGTATGTTACGATTGAGCGGTTTCTTTTTTACGGTTTATCAACTTTTGTGTGTCGAAACATATTTTGGATTGTAAGATTTTGAATGAATTAATTTTTTGAGAATAACAATTTTCCAGATACAAGTCTTACTATTTAACCCATATCTGGGGAGGGTAGGAGATAAATTCATACCTTTCCCAATGGTATTTGCGGTTAAGTGAATGTAATGAACTCAACTGGAAATAGAACTCGGATCTCTGATTTCTCTGAACAACAAACCATTACACCGCCTGCACATCCGATTAAGAGACTAGATTTGAATTTACATATCAACAACAACAAATGAATCATTTTGGTAAAAGCAAATCTATCGTTAAGAGCCCTGCAAATAATATAACTGCAAATGCATAAACTCAAAAGCAACAATTTATTTATAGGATCAAAATGAAAGACCCCACCCCCAACATTTTCAGACAAATGACGGGAACTGAAGTATTGATGGGTAATGATCAGGAGACACGCATAACGAAACAAAATAAGGAATTTATTGACAAATTTACACATTTGAAGTTGTCAGTAGCTTGTTTCAGGAAAAGGAATCAAATTTTTAAAGTTCGTAGTTTCGATGAATTGTCAAGTAGAGAAAATATTGATATTAAATCATCGAACACAAAATAATATTTCAAAATGTTTAAAACAAAATGAGAGTTCGTTTTAAACATAAAAGTTATACGGTTGTATTGAACATGAATGAAAAGATATATTTTAAGGTACTTAGCTTCGGAGTTGAATAGATGTTCTTTGAAATTGCCCTGCTCTTATTAGAGGCTGATAATTTATCAGCGTAAAATTTGACACTGACGTTATTCAAACGCGTGGAACATCCCCCCTCCCCCTCTCTCTCTATCTCTCTCTTTCTCTCTCTCTCTCTCTCTCTCTCTGCCTTGATTCGACTTTCTCTGCCTATTTATATCAAAAAGCGATTTCACACCGGCTCGTTAGTTTTTTCTCAGTTTGTAAGCCGCTCCCTTTTCCATTGGTCAAAATAAATTTTCACATAGGCTCGTTAAATTTTGCCTTGGTCTTTTCTTCAGCCTGGAGCCAATCCCTTTTTCTATTGGTCAAAATAAATTTTCGCATAGGGTCACGAAAAACAGTAGAGAAAAGAGAGTTATTTTCATTTCGTATTCACCACATAACCAATGCAAACAAACAACAAAAAGTTCACACACATTTGAAAACAAATATTGTTTTTTGAAATTTCTTTGATCAGTAACACTTTTTCTTTTTTACATTTTTTCTATTTTATTCCCTTCATGCGTAATTTGTGAATAGTAAATACATGTAGGGTACAAATTTTAATAGAAAACAATTAACATGAGTGCTACAAAATAAAGAAGTTTTTATCTAACTTTTCTTTTACAACACAAGAACTTGTGTAAAAATCTGAGAACAAAAATTAATGGTTCGTGTTTTGTCCCAGTGTCTTTAACGAGTCCGCAACTGTTCTTCTATTTCCGGCCTAATTCTGCTACGCGAGCTATTCTTTGGAGTTTCAATAATAAGTTTCATTATGTTGCTCATTAGGCTGATTGCCCACTGGAGTTCGCATTCGTTTACACCTGGCTTCTTAGACAGTGCTATGAAAATGGATCTATTTAGACCTTCCGGTATATCACGACTGTCGTATATATTATTTATTATTTCTGTACATTTGTTAGCGCTGAAAGTCTCTATGGCTGCCAGCATCTCTATTACACTTACATCTGGTCCTGTTTCTTTGTTCCTGTCCTATTTGGCTAAACAGTAGCCTAAAATTCGAGGCGGTGAATGTACTGTCTTTTAAGTGGGGATTCAATTTACAGGTACGTACAATGCAAAACTGGACCCTTTCTTATGTTTTTAGGATAGCAGGCATTCGATATACAATGTAAAGAGGCTTAGTTTTGTGTTCAAGTGAAATCGATCAAACTATACAGGAAAGTAGATTTTCTGTCAATTGTGCACTGGTTCAAGTGTTTGCTAAAAAAACAAATCTTAAACTCTAAGAACAGCTACAACTGAAATTTTCAAAATACACTTTTGCGTATCTCAACATTAACATGTCAATTGAAGGTCGTTCTCAACGGATTCTCCTCCAGCTCCTATCCCACGAACGCAGATGTTCCCCAAGTCTCCATCCTAGGCCCTACTCTGTTCCTTATCTTCATCAACGATCTACCTGACGCCATAGATTCCCAAGTAGGCATCTACGCGGACGGCACTACAATTTACTTCTGCCTCAAAAACAAATCTAGTGTCGCTGACAAAACTAACCTGGCCATTCGTCTCGAAAAGGACCTCCAATCGGTTGTGAACTGGGGCAGGAATTGGCTGGTTAACTTTAACGCCTCAAAAACAAAACTGCTCTCTATTAATCACCACAGAGATTCTTCCCTGCACCCCATTAGAATGTCTGACACTCAACTTATCGAGAGCACCTCTCTGCGGCTGCTCGGTCTCACATTGAGTCAATTGCTTCGTCCACCGCAAGAAAAGTTGGCTCCCTGTGCCGCGCTAGGAAAATTTTCTCCACGGAATCGATCCTTCAAATCTAAAAATCAACCATTCGCCCTTGCATGGAGTATTGCTGCCATATATGGTCTGGAACCCCTTCTGTTTGATAAGATCCAGAAACGGATATGCAATGCAATTGGCCCTGATCTAGCATCTCGTCTGCAGTCGCTCTCTCACAGACGTGCCGTCGCCTCCCTCTGTCTTTTTTACAAATACTTTCATCGTAATTGCTCCGATGAGCTGCTTTCGCTGGTTCCCAGGCTTCATGAATTCAAGCGTCCTACGAGGCTGGCATCCCGCTCTCACCCTTTCACTGTTGAAACTGTTAAATTTAGCCGTCTCTTCGACTCCAATAGCTTCATATCTCGCACCTCTCGCCTGTAGAACTCCCTTCCCTTTCCCTGATAGCTATACTCTCCAACTATCAAATGTAATGTCAATAGACATCTCCAGTTACCTTGATCTATCCACTATCCTTCTCTTCATCCTTTCTTCTGTCACTCCTATCTGCTCTCGCTCCAAATCCTATGTAACCCTTTACGTGCTAGTGGCTTCCAGCTTTACTTGGGGTGAAATGCTTTAAAAAAAAACAAAAAAAAAACAAAAGAAAAAAACACGTTGCTGAACTCAATGTGAAACAAATTGATGAATTTGACAGCTACTCAAAATCTCGCCAGAATAAATTCGTTCATATGTAGGGTACTAATGTTAATAAAAAGCAATTAACATGAGTGCTACAAAATAAAGAAGTTTTTATCTACCTTTTCTTTTACAACACAAGAACTTGTGTAAAAATCTGAGAAAAAAATTGATGGTTCGTGTTTTGTTTTTCTTTAAAATCTCTGCGAGTTATAGAGAAGTATCAGAGGTCGCGTGACGTTAAAAGCATTATCACCAAGTTGAGAATCGTAATTTGATACTGTTCGTTCAGCAGTCAAAGAGCAGGCTGCAGTGAGACACAGTTGTATTCATCCTGCCGGTCAAATAAACTGTTCTGAGGTAGTTTGAAAATATTGTCATTTTTATATCGTTCTGGATGTGTCACGCACACTCGTTAGCTCCACGAATTTCTTACGAAGTGACCGTGTATTTTTTTGAATACTCGATTGGTCAAAAAACATGGTCGAGTGTTTTATTTTTTTTTAGAAAACCTGCGTAGGCGGTTTTTATATATTAAGAATTACGCCAAAGTTGCCCCGATTTTTCTCGAACCTTCCTTGACGGAGAAATTACATCATTTCCTATACATACAACGACAAAATGCGTTTTATGTCTTTAAAGTAGACGTGTCCAGCTTTGGTCACAACGCTCTTTTCAGTCAACGAATCAAATCAACACAAGACTAAATTTTCCAAGTTTGTTGCATACTTCAAACTATCAGACCAATTTTTAATTAATGATAACACATTATGAAAAATTGGATTCTCGCATTTCTACAGATTCTTCATTTTTAAAATAAAGCTGACCATTACTGTTAAATACAAGAAATGGCAGACAGTGAAGAAATAAGAATCGCGTAAAATAGTCGTCTAAAAATAAACGCCAAACAAACTAGAAGCACAAAATTCATATCATGACAGACCGTGTCGACAAAAACAGACAAAAGTTTAATACTTAAAATAGCTAACGTCTAAAGATTTCAAAGGTATGCCAAAATCCACACAAAAAATATCATCATATATGTCAAGATGACAGGCTCCAAAACAAAAAACTAAAATAAAATTAAGAAACAGTCCGATACGATAGAAACATATATAAAAAAAGCAAATTTTCAGCCAACAGTGTATAAATTCAGAAACCTTCCTGATTTTAATGATATATGATTTTGCTAATTAAATGAGCTGGAAGTGGAAAATTACTGTTTAATTAGATAAAACATGGTAAACACCTAAAGGCAATACTTCTATATATCTCCGATCAGTTTAGAACTAAATATTTCGGTCTGGGATGAGTGTTAATTGGGAGCTGTTATTTATGAATGTCACAAGTAAGCTGATAGGGACAGGGGAGCTTAATTCGTATATTCAAGCTACATAAAAGAAGAATGTTTGTCAATTTAGCGACATATTACCACGAGTCAGCGATACATATAAAACTCTATGCTTTCCCCATTTTTCCAAAATCCATTGGAAGCCGTCCTCGTTTCGATGTTGAAACTGAAACTCATGAATGAACCAGAATAATTTCTTCAACATTTTTCGTCTGTCATGATTTTTTTGACAATGTGGTCACTTTTTGATCAAGCCACTTTTTTTCTACACCCAGGGATCACCAAAGAAAGGACATCTAAATTTCAGGCAAAGCGCTGGTCCAAGGCGCAACTTTACACTGAAATAAATAAATACGAGATATTGCAACAGTCAGTATTCTTCTTCTTCTTCTTCTTCTTCTTCTTCTTCTTCTTCTTCTTCTTCTTCTTCTTCTGAGAGTGAGAGAGAGAGAGATGGAGTGAGAGAAAAAGAGAGAGATGGAGTGAGAAAGAGAGAGAGAAAGAGCATGATAAATAAGGAAAAATGAAGGGAATTGACACAGGATGTCATTACCAAAATGGCTGTATTCTAAATAGGTCAGCACTTTACACTGAAACAAATAAATACGAGATATTGCAACAGTCAGTATTCTACCGAGAGAGAGAGAGAGAGAGAGAGAAATATATAGAGAGAGAAAAAGAGAGATGGAGAGAGAGAGAGATGAAGAGAGAAAGAGAGAGAGAGATGAAGAGAGAAAAGGGAATTGACATATAGGATGTCATTACCAAAGTGACTGTATTCTAAATAGATCAGCACTCGGGATAACCGAACGAATACATCCCATGACAACGACACAGCATACAGCAGACAGACTAAATTTTACAGCAGACATATATATAACACTTAACTGCTAGATGCATTTGTATACTAGACCGACTCTAGACTAATTGAATGTAAATATTTTTGTTAATATTTGCAATGTTCTTTTATAAGATTTAGATTTACTCACCCTTGCATTCTATTTATTGCCAATTTTCTTGATCACTGACAGACAGAAAGAAAGAACGCGTTCACGTCAATTCCTGTCTTGACCTGGCCCCACATCTTAATCTACTGAAAAAGTCATCTCATCTGCATAGCTTTTCTAAGTCAATTTGCTTGTACTTTCTTTTCGTCTGCAAACCGTGAATAATGAATTACTAAAATGTAAGAGCTATTTTCCTATTAAGCACATGTCCATTACTACGTGCATTTTGAATAATGATACTATAAAAAGATGCAGCTAAAGAAACTCAATACACATAATTTTACATACAAAAACTTTGTTGTAAAATGTAAATAAATTACAGATTTTAACTCAATTTTTGGAAGTTTATTTACTATATTAATTAAATCTCAAGGGAATACAAGGTTTTAAAGGATATATTCAAATGTGATTTGCAAGAAACTTGTATTTGAATGTTCTCTATTATACTGTGGAGGACTTGTTATGTCGGGTCTTATTGTTGAAAGAATAGATTTGAGCTGCATGTTTAAAGACATCTATCCTCAACACATTTATATTATACTTCAACGAAAATAAACAGAAAAGCATAGAACAATACTGAGAAAAGACTAAGGCATTTATATTGAATAATGATCAATTTTCATTTATATTGTATGAAAATTACTATGATATGGCGGACTTCACCACATTTATTTAACTTAGATTAGGAAACCAAACTGACGCGAAGAAAAAGAGTATAAGCCAAATACATCATTACACATAAAATTTGTATTTAACAAGATGTACAAACAAGGATATGAAAGAAAAGCATGCATTGAGTAAAACAAGAGTTGTCTCTCTTTAACTATCAATTGTTCCAAAGTTCACTGAAAGCAATAAGGTTGTAATAGTTTCTGCTAATAAATGTTTTCAACAGTTTTGCTGTCTAATAAAAAAGATTATGTGAGTATAGGGAATATTCAGCATGTGAGTGGTGGTGTGAGTGAGAAGGTTGGAGCATGGTTTCAACTGTCGTGTATTTCTGTGGCAGCTGAGATCTCACTGGTTTACTAAGAATTTTCTTTGCTTATATAGGTGATCATCGGATCCGAAAGCGCTGCGCGAGAAGAATCACTCTTCACGTGCAGACAATCTGATTGGTTGGCATTGACCAATCAGCGAGCGAGCTTTGAGGAGACTCACGAAAAGCTTCTGGGATCCGATTCTCGAAATCGACTGCATGAAAATATAGCGATTATAAAATTGTCGCATTACGCAGAATTGTTAATTTATTATCCAATGATTGCTTCTTGTTGTATAATTTGAATTTGCATATATATGTATGTATGTGTGTGATGATGATTGTCACAATGATATGTATTGTAATAAGCGTAGATCTTCGATTGAAATCTCGTATTGTTTGTTAGTTTGATTAATGTTAAACTCTATGTGTGTGTGTGTGAATGATGCCTGTGAGTTTAACTGAGAGGTTAAATGTTGCAAAATTTGTGATGAAAGTTTCACAAAGTAGGATGTAGTAATAAACTGTTGATACGAAAATTAAATAGTTTGTGTCAAATAATAAATTCACATTAAATTTGTGTAAATTTAGTTCGAATAAAGTTGTCTTCCTTTGACTGCACTTGATGCGACTTGAAGTTGGAATGCTCGTAAAAGTTCAGAAGATGATTTCGTTGTCGAAAAGTTCTTTGCTTTGAATGAAATTACAATGTTTATTCACTAGCAGGAATGATTATGAGCTGCTGGGTGAATGGATTGATGAGTGAATGAAATTTCTGGAAGTTTGTCATATGTTCGCAAATATCTTTGAAAGCTTCAGATGAAGTGACATATGTTCGTGTACCAAATAGTTTGAAGTCACAACGCTCACTAGCAAAGTGAGTTAGTGTTCTATATTTATTTACTTGGATAAGCTTCAGAGAAATTGGTGCTAAAAATTTTAATTTGGTCACGCGATGAAAAAAAACTTGTGCGTGGGTGGATAGCAACGCCTACTTGTATGTTTGTTGACCAGTTTAGAACTCGAATATTCAAAAAAATATGCGCAAAGTTGAATCTATCTAAAACATCGCTATTGTTGAGGTATGTTAATAAGAATGGACTCTTTGTAGATGTCTGTTTATTAACATGACCACACGATTTATATTTAACGTAAAATATCACAAAATATGAAACAATAAAAAATAAAAACGGTTTTATAACATCAACGTTTATATTATTTTCATTACAGAGAGAAAAATTAACAAGAGATAACTGATAACTGGCGTCCATTAAAACATATCACGTGGAACTAGAACACTCTACCTCAGTGAGCGAAATAAAGGGTTCAGTTCGACATTCCAACCACCTGAAGAAGGCCGGAGCGTAAAACATTGTGATGAATATGGCGACAAAGGTGAGGACAATAGTCCGAATAATGTAAATAATGTACATAATACCTCATCTCAGAAATATAGACAGATATCAACATTTATATTTATTTTTGTGTAATGACGTACATGCGCAGAAGATTTATTTTGGTGTTATGTCCCTTTGACTGATTTCATATTTTTATCTGAGCTCACAAAAGTTGAATGAACTGTAAATCTGAGAAATGCTGAATAAACTGTAGCTTTAGAAAAGTATTTCAAAGAGAAAAGTTCTTGTTGCTTGTTGGGAAATGTTTGTATTGTAGTTTGGAAATTTTCGTACGTACGTGCATGCGTGAATATGCTTTTAACGTCTGACCACACGTGGTCGAGACGGAATCCTTTTTACAACTACATCTTGTAGCGAGAAGAGAGAGAGTAGCCATCCCGTATCTGCTATTTATAATTGATGTAACCACGTGGCAGGCTCACAGAAAATTGGTGGCAAAACTTGACTTGGTCACGCGCTGGAAAGATATTTGTACGTGGGTAGATTGCAACGCCCACTTGTGTATATTGACCAATTAGAAGCTGATACTTCCTGAAAATATTTACTAAGCTGAGTAGGCTCTCTGATACAATTTTGCACAGAAATTGTACAAAATTCAACATTGATAAGAAAGTGGTAGCGGGATGCTAAACTGTGATCCACTTTTTGTACAGAAATTGTACAAGCTATTTTTAGTAATTCGTAAAGATGTAGAATTAGAACTCTGCAATACCTCAAGGACACAGTAGTTTTTAACGGATATGTTCAAAAGTGATTAGACAAATGGAAATCATCATCCGAGAAGGGTACTCTCATTCCAAATCTACGCTGGTATTCAGTTATACTCAATCAGTTGGTGGAAGACTGAGAATAAGTCCTGAATATAAACCTGGAGCCAGAGCCTCAGATGCAGATTGACGTTGAATTCAACTTCGTTTTGACAACTCCTGTGACGATGCTTGTGCCAAACAATATCAGACCCTGTCCTTCCCTTGAACAACATCGGTGGCGTGGCGAGAAGAGACGTGACAACTATTGATCTCCCACAAAATGTTGTCCAACCGGCACCCTGGAGAGAACACTTGAGCTTCGATTAAAAAAAACGAGCCGAATCCAAAGTACCCAGGGGCAGTTTCATGATCTCTGAGATACCACACACATATAAGTGTGACTATGACAAATTATTAACTTCCTATACTCATCACGATACACGTCACGAAATAATAAAATTTTTAGCCAATAAAAATAAAGAATTTGTAATTTTTGCACTAGGAATTCGCCTTAAAATCCTTCACTTTCAGTTTTGCATTCTTACTCATCCCTCCTTTTTCCTTTCTTTCTTTCTTTCTTTCTTTCTTTCTTTCTTTCTTCTCTCTCTCTCTCTCTCTCTTTCTCTCTCTCTCTCTATGTGGTAACGACATAACCCCAAACTAATAGGACTACAAATATCCTACCTTTGCAAACTGTGAAGATAAATTGCATAATCTGATATTACCTTTCTGATTTTTACCCTTAACGGTCTTTTTTATCTTCTCTTTGGAGGGGGGGGGGCTTTTTCGAAAGAAAGACAAGCATGGTCAGAAAACATTGAATCTCATACGCAGACTACGCAAAGTCCATACAAGAACATATGAGAGTGACGAAAAGAAAGTCTCAAACCAAAGTGACATCAGGAACATCAGCATCTAAGGGATCAGCGACGTGGCATAAAATATTAATCAGCATTGAATTTGAAATTGACAAAAGGATTTCGAAATCTGGTTAGGACTGCATGAGTTCACTTCGTGCAGATACCATTGAAAAAGTATGAATCCATCTCTCGCTATACTGTTCTCTCGTTAGTTATCGTTGCAAAAGCCTCGTTACTGGCATGCTACGATTGTTGATGAAGAATAGAACAGTCAATTCAGTGATTTTTGGTGATGCTTATCCTGTAACCCAAACAACTTAGAGAGAAGATGGGCATCGCCAAATAACCGGATTTGATGAAGTGGAGGGGTTTGGATTAGAAGTAAAATAAAGGATGACAGCTGATAATCCGTTCTCTCTCGTAGTACAGCAGCGATTATGTAACAGCAGTAATTGAAGCTTTATCCATTGTCAGTTACAACAGAGGCAGACATACACACCCACGCAGAACCTCAATAATAATCAATCAATTTCAATGCCTAGATTTATATTTTATAAACGTGAAATAGATTTCATGCAATAAATAATTTCATGATAGTCTTTAGTACCTTTGTTATAGACAAGCGTATGGTTGCAAGAAAGAAATACGACAACAGCAGAAATAGATTTACGTGCTTTATTTCAATAGGAACGTGTAGTTTTGGGACAGATACCTTGTGGTATAGTTCTTAAACCGGCTTCCGATCTGGGTTGATCTCTCATAATAGTTCTCACTGGTTGGCGTGGCGCTCCTCCTGCTGACTGCTGCTGACTAACTGTGACATCTCCTCCCTGGCCTCCTGTTGACTGCTGCTGACTGCCCGTGTGACCCCTTTTATGGCGTTTTTTATGGCGTAACAGACTCGAAAAACGACGCGAGTATAATTAGGAGGGAAGCATTTTTATTGGTCGAGAAATAGGAACACTTTAAAATATTGTTTTATTTTTCAACCGGAACTCGTGCGTCGGGCCTATGCGTAAACGACGATAATGGTCATTTTGTGACGGGGCCTTGTCACATTCACATCCGGCTCTCGCTCTTGAGTATCTTAGTTTATTTGCCTGCAAATCAGCCGAGATATGTCTTATTTTATTTTATAACACTTTTAAGCCATTATATATATATATATATATATATATATATATATATTGCCATATAAATATATATATATATATTGTGGCAACAAGAAAAACAACGTAAAAATGGATTGATTCGTCTGAAGAACTCTTGGAATCTGAGTTGTTCGAATTATAATTCTCAGTTTTTATGATTAGGGTGTAAATACGAACATTTGTTACATTTTCTGTGATTAATTTGTTTTTGTTCTTACTTACTCTTCCCCGGTTAGTATGCCCCCGTTCTTGGCTAGCCACGTGATACTTAATGTTCAATCAGTACAGATAACAGTTTTGAGAAATACGCCACGAAGAAAAGATGCTTTCCTGATATGTGGGTAAAATAGAAAAATTTGCAGTATGACGTACTAGACTTGTGAATAAAGACAGCTTTTGTAACGTTCACTAACTTTCCTTTTCCGGATCGGAGAGAAGGCATGTAACACATTTCTATACTTTGCTAGCAAATTCGCTTTCTAGAAAATAAAACCTTAATTTGCGTTCTTCTGATTTCTCTGCAGCCATCTTTGTTTCTTTATTTAAAACGTTTCGGTAAATATCTATACTGACGACAGATACTATCGATGCGGCTCGCATATATCTGGGAAACAGAAAAGTTGAATATTTTTTGATAATTTATTTCCAGGTAAATGTTATTTACGATTCCTTTTTTTAAAAAAAGAAACGCAGATATCTACAAATGTTGATTATTCTATAGTTTTCATTTTTTGACAACTAAACATGAGGCAAAAGAAAGACAATCTGAATTACATAATTACTTTTCCTTACCTAATCCGTTTTACCTTCCACTTTCTTCTTATACTGATTATTTAACCAAATGATAAGTTTAGCTTTGAAATGGATCTGCTTTTCAGATTCAATAAGTAAAAGAAACTTCGAAAGGTCAAAAGGACTTTTCGTTTGTTACTTTTAAAATGTACAATTTTATTAGTAATTTCATGTCTCAAAATACATGAAATTATAATGATAATTGTTCAGTAATCTCAAATGCTGATTACATTGTTTAGCTAAACTGAAAGAGGTTAATGTTTATGCTACATGACTGATAGAGATATTTTCATAATGTCAAATCCCAGGGTAAAGTCGAAGAGACTATTGCCAAAAAAATAACTCCAGCGTTATTGGATACATCCGGCGAATGATCTATATGTTATGTTTACATAATAAAATTAATTAATCTTGTAATGGCGCAAAGAAATCACAAGTGTAGCATACTACAATGTCGGGTGCAAAAAACAAAAAAAAAAAAAACAGTATTGTGTCAGCGTATCAGGGTATATCTTAATCGAAACAATGGCTAGGCAGAAGACGACCCACAAAATCAATATAGATGGCGAAAATGTCGAGTTATTAGGGGGAGATATTTAAAGGCCAGGTCAAGACAGGAATTGACGTGAACGCGTTCTTTCATTCTGTCTGTCAGTGATCAAGAAAATTGGCAATAAATAGAATGCAAGGGTGAGTAAATCTAAATCTTATAAAAGAACATTGCAAATATTAACAAAAATATTTACATTCAATTAGTCTAGAGTCGGTCTAGTATACAAATGCATCTAGTAGTTAAGTGTTATATATATGTCTGCTGTAAAATTTAGTCTGTCTGCTGTATGCTGTGTCGTTGTCATGGGATGTATTCGTTTGGTTGTCCCGAGTGCTGATCTATTTAGAATACAGTCACTTTGGTAATGACATCCTATGTGTCAATTCCCTTTTCTCTCTTCATCTCTCTCTCTCTTTCTCTCTTTCTCTCTTCATCTCTCTTTTCTCTCTCATCTCTCTTTTCTCTCTCTCTATATATTTCTCTCTCTCTCTCTCTCTCTCTCTCAGTAGAATGCTGACTGTTGCAATATCTCATATTTATTTGTTTCAGTGTAAAGTGCTGACCTATTTAGAATACAGCCATTTTGGTAATGGCATCCTATCTGTCAATTCCCTTCATTTTTCCTTATTTATCATGCTCTTTCTCTCTTTTTCTCTCACTCCATCTCTCTCTCTCTCTCTCTCTCTCTCTCTCTCTCTCTCTCTCAGAAGAAGAATAAGAATAAGAAGAAGAAGAAGAATACTGACTGTTGCAATATCTCGTATTTATTTATTTCAGTGTAAAGTTGCGCCTTGGACCAGCGCTTTGCCTGAAATTTAGATGTCCTTTCTTTGGTGATCCCTGTGACTGGGTGTAGAAAAAAAGTGGCTTGATCAAAAAGTGACCACATCTCTCTCTCTCTCTCTCTCATCTCTCTCTACACTTCTTTCTCTCTCCCTCTTTTTCTCTCCCCATCTCTCTCTCTATCTCTTTCACCCTCCATCTCTCTCTCCATCTCTTTCACCCTCCATCTCTCTCAATCCCTCTCTCTCTTTCTCTTGTCATCTCTCTTTTCTCTCTCCCCCAAATGAAATTTAAAAACGAACGCACAAAGCGAGTAAAAGAAAAATATTTAATTGCGTATGCAATTAATTTGGAAGCAAATATATTTGCATTACTTTAAACGTTATTTTTATAATGAATACCCATATTTTATGATGGACACCCGTATTTGTGTAGACGTCCCGTTTATTTTAAACAGTATTTATTTTGTCTACTGGCCTGCGTAATCGACTGCATATTTTCTTTCGAGTAGACAAAATAAATACTGTTTAAAATAAACGGGACGTCTACACAAATACGGGCGTCCACTAAAAATAAGGTTTTAAGCAATAAAAATAGCTCGGATTAAAAAATAAAAGTCCATTAATTTGTTCGAAAAATCATATATATATATATATATATATATATATATAAATTTCCAACAGGATAGAATCCAGGTAGAAATCAATGTCCAGGATATATAATAAAAAAGACTCAAACACTAATATTCCATTGTTATAATTTATTACATTGTAATCGTAATCACGATCCAATTCATCAGACCTACAAATTCAAAAAGAAATCGGAAAATATAACTCCGGGTATAAAAAATAAAATTTCAGTGAGAGTGTATGTGTAGGAGTGGGAAACAAGTGTGAGAGGGAGACGTATGAAATCTCTAGAGAAGTGTAACAGAAGAAAGAAGAACAGGAAGGCCTCAAGGTGAAGGTGGGGATTAAAATTTAACAGAGAGAAGTGTTAAAGAGAGGAGTTAAATAACGGTTTAAATGAGTGAGATACAGATAAATATGAATTATTTTTCGATGCATAATTCGTTACCGATTCGCTGACCTAAATTAAAATTAAAAAACAAACACCGGAAACGTGTGTATACATTTGTGGTGACACTACGCACAATAAAAAACGATATGATCTAAACTTAAAATCCAGAAGATACCGTCACACACATATATACAAACACAAATACACACACACACACACACACAGAGAGAGAGAGAGAGAGAGAGGTGCGCTTTTTCACATCGAAACTAGATTGACGTTTTTGTGAATCCGCAACGAATTATTAGATGCGCTTTTACCTAAAAATGATCATAGTCTCATCGTCTGAGGTGGCCGGAAGTAGCAAAGGCTAGGAATGTCGGAGGTAAGGGTCCACGGCAGCTGGAAGTAGTAAAGAGTAAGAGTGCCGGAAGTAAGAATGGATAGAAAAGCCCAACTAGCGTCCAGTTGGCAAACAAAAATAAATGGGAATGTAACTCAATACATAACCCGTCCAAACGTTTCTCCTCCCCTCCCACTGTTTGGGTTAGGCGAGAAGTCGCCAGGTTATAAGGAAAGTGGGTGTAAACATTAACTGATTCTGCAAAGTACTGAAAATCTCAAGAAAAATAAACTGAGCTGTGCTACGAAATATAAAATGTATAAAAAAATGTTTAAAAAGTGTATTCCGACTAGGTTCGTAACACTGAAAGAACTAAAAGTCGCTGCCACAATGTCATGCCGCGCGGTGCATGCTATGCATTAATTTGAGTCTCATACATAAAAAGTTTTATTGAAGAAGCCATTTTTTTTACTAGCCATCACGTTTCAGTAGCAGTTCTCTATTGAAAATCGTGTTAGTAACTTATTTATATTAATACATGATTTTGTAAAACATTCCCCTCTAAAGAAAATGCCATAAACAAACTTAACCTATTATATTATTTTCTTATTTAATCTTTAATTATTTTTATATAATTTACATTTCATTTTTATCATATACATGTTTATAGGTTCTCTGGGTCCTTTCGACAAAACATTCTAACTTAAACGAGATTATGGAATCCTCCACATTTGCATCTCACCCTCTACGGTAAGATGCACTCTTCCCCAAAATAAACCTTTAACCAATCATCACTTTACTTTTCCAAACTCAATTCCCCATTGGTTAAAAGGACACTAAAATGCAGCAAAGTTGAGACAAACCTTTTTCCCGCGCAGGTCTTTGGAGCCTGTTTGGAAAAATCTATAAAAAGAATCGCTCGACTTAATTCAAGTTAGTCAGACACTGAGTTTCGAGAGATACCAACAGACCCCACGTGTGCCAACACACTGACTCAATAACCACTACCATCTTCTCAACAACTCAACACAACTCGCACAACTATTGCCGTGTGAAGAAACCTAACTTACAATTTACTAAAAAGTGACATTATCACTACAAAACAGTAATTGTACATTCAATCAACTTTAGCCTATCAGTTAAAGACGAACAACTCTTCATAACTTAAATCAACACTAGCAGTTGTCACACACATACACACTATCACTTGAACTTACACAATTGACAATTTTCCTTGCAGATATCAAACTATTTTAATTCCACAAACTTAAACTATCAACCTTTACTAACTAAATTTCTGCATGGACAATCTTTGTACCTTATCTCATTTGCTACATTTAACAAACAACTTATCACCACTTTGTGTATGTCAAATATATATATAAATTCACGCTATTGTTGAAATCTCAAATGACGTTGTTTTCAATAATTTCTTGAAGTTGAATTGTCTATTTATTTTTGTTTGATTTATTTGTTGTGGATAAATGCATTACGATCACGCACATTCTTCACAAAAAATCACCTTCTGATACATCTTACTCAGCATAGATACCGCAACAAGATAACATCTCAGGTAAAATAATTTTTAATTTTTTCTTTTGTTTGCTTTGTGTTTTTGTTTTCGTCATTTCATTTCTTGTCTCGAGTTTCTTCTCTCTAGACTGAATATCTGAATAAGTTAAGGGTATCTTGTAGCGACTGCTATGTTTTTCCACGCTCACATTTTATTCATCTGCGATTGGCTAATAAATCAATACTGCCTATCTATAGGACAATTTAGCCATCGCAGTCGTTGCTTTGAATTTTTCGGTTTTGAACATGCTTACTTGTTTCGTTAGTACAAATTTAGCGATTTAACCAATCACGTATTTTAGTGCAAAATCAACTTTTCCAGCGTTTTCGCTGGGAGCCTACCTGCAGCTTTAAAAGAGGCGACTTTTTCATAAGCCGCCAGTAAAGTCCAGCAAATTTAGCCTGTCAACACAAACCTATGACTTTACTCACAACTTTTCCAAGGCACACAGACACAGAATTTTGTAATACATATATTCATATCTCTCTGTGACTCAGCCAAGTTCAATAAACCAGGACTCTGTTAATTTCTCTAACACAACACACTTTCTGATCAATTGTATTCTTGTGTTATCTATTCTAACAGCAGACTTGTTCTAACATTGATCCCTGAACATTTCTCTCTCAAGAGAACTTTCTTTCGAACAATCAATTACAAATCAAAATACGGTAAAAGGGAAGAAACTTCTTTTCCCTTAATCTATACATTGAATACAAATTATTGTATATTTTGTTCTTGTATTTTATTTCAATATATACTTGTTGATTCACATTTGGAGTTTCGTTGTTTTCTTGAATCATGAATAATACAAAAGATATATGCGTTAAAGAACACGCGCATAACAATCTCACTGATAAAAGATAACAATGTTGCTTAAGGATTACTCTATATCTATCTATTGTCTTTGATAACTTTTTTATGCATTGGCATGAATGACTGAATTTTATTTTTTAATGTAACATTTTTTATGGAAGGGGACAGATTTTCGAATTTGTAAGAAAAGCGTTTTGAGTTATTTTGTATTATTTATTTTAAATATTTGTTCTGTATAATCGATTTTTTTAATTATTTATCATTCAAAGACTTTATAAAAAAATTATTTATTATTATTTAGTCTTTAGTGCAGTTGTTGCGGGATGTACACAGAGTGAAATATATCAGAAGGCAAAATTAAGTAAGATGGTTATGCGTGCTTATAGCGTGCGTATCCCACAAAATATTGGTTATGTGGAGGTTGTGTTAATGGATTAAATTATATTGATCAAAAATTGTTGAGTAAATTAGGCTGCGTGATGAAATTAACAATTTCCTCTCACATTAAATTTTAGTATTCAACAAACATATAATAAAGACAACATGAGAAACAACATTTTTTGCACAACGATGAATAAAATATTTATATAAACAAGAGATACAAAAACAACTGGAGTAAAGAGGTGGTTTTAAAACGTTAAAACTTATATGTACGTTTGTCGAGCATTAATCTTGCTAGAAAAGGGGAAATATTAAAGAAGCCAGGTCTAGTATTCACCGTGCGTACATATTCACAAACGTACATATAAGTTTTAGATTAAAATAAAATTCTTTTCATTTTTCATTCAAAATACTATATTTTAGGAATACGTTTTCACAACATCGCCCACGTGACGCCGACGTGATCATATTGAAACGGAACGCTGATCTTGAAAAATTTCTGTTGTCTGTTTTGATTGGTCTTACTCTTATGTCCATCGTCTTTTCATGTTGAATTAAATATAGTCTAATGTCAATTATGTTTTATGAATATGTCCTGAAGATGGTCTACTAGACCGAAACGTCCGACGTTGACATTATATTAACATTAAAACAGCATAATTGCATATTAGGATTTTTGTTTGTTTTTTCCGTATATTTTTCTTCATACTGTCGGATCTATATCCATATATTTGCTTATATATATATATATATATATATATATATATATATATATATAGTGTAATAGCAAAATTGTGCAATTTTTAGAAGCTTTGAACCGTTGTATCTTAGAAATGATTAAAGTTATCTTACTGGAATTCTCCGAGGTTTTTATAACACGATTGGACTCTACTTTGAGCAATAAGAATGCGTAATTACTCTCCAAGCTTAACAGATCTTAAACGAAGATGACATATTCATCCTTAATTATTCATAGCTAAGGATCGGAAGCTCATGAAATAAAGTTTATATATATATATATATATATATATATATATATATATATATATATTATTCCAGGATCATTTTCCAACCTATTCAAGATGATCTTTGCCCTCTATCACTTTCTAACTTTCTGTCCTGGAGTAACAAGGTGCCGCACACTTTTCACGTACGATTTCAACTTTCAAGTCTTTTTTCTTTCGACTGTCATAGGTGAAACTCTTATGGATTGAGTTGGATCTTTTCTAATTGATCTCTTTGGCTGAAGTTGAAATGATGACCCCTCTTGCTGTTGGGACATCCTGATCCAGTTTTCCTTTCTACATTTCGTTCTTTTTTAAGCTTATTCCCCGTTCTCTTGATGGTTATTGAATGGACATTGAAGACGGAGGCCAGAGTTGGTACCATTACTGAAAAGCTGAGTTATTTTTTCCTCTCATCATTGCTCAGTTGAGAAGACACTGGGGTGACACAGAACGATTTTAACCTGTTCTCTTTCTAGCTGAATAATTCAAAGAATTTTTCAGTGATTCTTGCAACAAATGGTGTCAACATGACTAAGCGTTTTATCTGATAACCTGAATAAAAGAAAGTCATTTAGTTTAGTGACATTTTAAATATTAAAAATTTTGTGGGATGGACATTTATGCTGTAACACGATTTGGGCAATTTTGCTGTTACACCCGGTATATATATTGTCATCCACAGACAGACCGTTTCCCTGTATCACAGCTCATCAGTGTGGCTAGACGTCCGGTTGCCTCTAGCTAGGATCGAAACCCGACTGAACTGGCGTCAGTCGAGATTTCTACCACTAAGCCGTTGGTGCACATGAAGGTGAATTAATATATATATATATATATATATATAAAAGATTCTAAGTAAAGCTTAAAAGATTCTAGTGAAGCTGGCTATATAGAAGATCCTGAGTGAGGAAATTGAAGCTTTTGACAGAAATACGTGGAGACGTACAATACAATTCATGAAGCTACTAAGATCTTCAAAAAATGGCAATGAGTTGGGCAAATATCAAGCGTGCAACTAAGAAAGAGGAATTCATTCATCCAGCAATCCACCAATTTACATGTGATGAATATCGCAGAGTATGTCTCCTGTGGAGGGTTGAATTAGACTACGTGTCGCTAACAGATTTTTAATGACATTGTGCCGTAATAAACGAAACGAAGACTTGAGTAGAAAATGAATTGCCAATGTTTATTGATGCACGTAGGTACCAAGAAGAGAATATGTGGAGAATGTCCAACCTAAACGTTGAGTGAGGAGGGGTGCTGAATCTCCCGTTTGTTGGCACAGCTACCAAGCACGCCCGAAATCAATGGTTGGGCAGTGAAAAAGAAAGCGATCATGTCATTTCCGGAAGTAGAGTTATAAAATTCACACGTAACCGGAAACCCTTTTTGGCTTCCATTTTTTTTTTTTTGTTATGGGAACATGAAAATCTTTATTTTTTTATTATTATTTTATTTATTATTTTATTTTCATTCTCCCACACTCTCCAGTGCTGTCCTAGCCACAAGGCGAGTCATATTGGTAGACCTTACACAAATTATGATCAGCACTACGTTGAAAATAGCTTAATATGCAATACGTGTCAGAAAACATGCAGAAGCTGCTCTCGTCTCACATGAAAACCCACAGGTAAGCTGAACAGACTTTATAAAACAGGTCAGGTTCTGTACAAAACAACTTAATCTGCCACATCTATAATAAGCATTTCATGTCACTCGCTGGCTTCAAGAACCTTAGTCATTCTCACAAAAAACAGTGATCAAACTTGTCAGCGATTGTCATACTCGTTTAACGACCTGACAGCCATTATCTATCTATCTATCTATCTATCTACGTCACTTCATATCTTCTTGTCAATTTGTATTACTCACATCAGTGTTTTAGTGAAAGAGCTTTTTAATGGAAATGGTAGTAAGCTCGTCTCTGACAAAAGAAGAATTTTTTATGCTAATTTTTAAAGCAAATAAAATCTCATAATACAGGATACTTGCCCTACACAATCTTCTTATATCTGACAATCGTTGCATTTCCGTATTTGTGAAATGTACAATACCAATGCGGTATAATTGTCAATGTTTATACTCCAGTCTTCTAGGTAATCTTTATCTCCAGGACGGTCTATTCATCTGTTCGTTGGCTGAAAGGATTTGCTGAGTTTTCTACAGATTCCAGTCGTCGGCGTCAGATTCCATTTCCATTTTCATTACTTCGGATCATGATCGTTAAATATCAACATCATTTTATTAATTGTATAATCTGCAATAACTCTGTGGTGTAAATAATTGACTGCCATTCTTAACAGCACACCTTTGAATTTCATCCGTAACTGATTATCAGGCAATCTGTATTCATTAATTTTTCAACAGAATGTTTATCGCTCGATATATCGATTGATTTATGTGTCTATTTGTTTTATGACTGCCCACTTTATCCCCATTTGTCTTTTTGATTTGTTTGTCTCCCATGAGCAAAAGGAATTTGGGAGAGGAAAGAGAAGAGAGAAAGAATTTGGGGAAGGAAAGAGAAGAGAGAAAGTCATGTCTCCCGAGTATTTTTGAACGGCACAAACGAAAAAACACAAAACTCTTACTCTGGTGTGAAAGTTAAAAGAAATTTACATTTATTAAAAGATATAAAAATATAATAATACAAAATTTACAAATGAAGCTTGCAAAAAATTTCCTCTGTGCGCCAAACACTTTGGCAAGATAACAATTTTAAATACAATTATGTTGGGCTCATGAAAATTATTATTATTATGATCATCAAAAATATACTAACTTATTTCGATTCATTTGACTGTCGAAAGGAGTTGAAAAGGATGACAATTCACATTAGTCGCTGATTTTCTTTGTTTTCTTAGACAATAGTCTAGTTTTACAAACTGAGATTAAAAATGACAGTTTTGAGACCATGAGCCGCTTTTATTTGCAAAAATATTTTAATAGCCTAGCTTTGTAATTTAGATCAGTCTCTGTATGAAAATATCTTAAATCAACAAAATTGTGAATAATAAAGTGTCTTTACAGTAATTAAATAAAAAAGATTGACCGAATGGAGATCGGGGATTAACTTTGCATTAAACACCTTAAATACAAAGGAGAAAGTGGTAGACTTTTTTTTTTTTTTTTTTTTTTTTTTTTATTTAAGTATTACGCCCCGATTAAGGCGTGAAGCCACTAGGATGCAGGGGGTTGCAGAAGATTTGGAGCGAGAGCAGATAGGAGTGATAGAAGAAAGGATGAGGAGAAGGATAATGGGTAGATCAAGATAACTGGAGGTGTCGATTGACATTACATTTGAATAGTTGGAGATTATAGCTCTCAGGGAAACAGTAATTGGGAAGGATGATCCACAGGCGAGAGGTGCGAGGTGTGAAGCTATTGGAGTAGAAACGGCTACATTTAAAAGTTTCTACAGTGTAAGGGTGGGAGCGGGATGCCAGCCTCGTAGGGCGCTTGAATTCATGGAGTCTGGGAACCAGTGAAAACATCTCATCGCGGAGAAATGTACCAGCACCTATCCCTTTGGTTATCAGCGAGGTTTTTTCAGAGCAGTTGGATAAAACTTACTTTCTGGACACGTACATTGCAAAAGAACTCTCCTGCACAAGCAATGCCGTTGCGTAAGTCAAGAAAGCGCGCCAGCAACTCTATTTATTAAGAATTCTCAGAAAAAATAATTTACAAAGGGGTGGGGGGCTCTGATGATCAACCATTTCTCTACCAGGAATGTGCAGGTGTACTGTAACACATTTTGCTACACCAGCTGCTCGGCAGCGGACAAGAGAGGTCTTCAAAGGTTTATAGATTTTACTGACAAATATTCGGCTGCTCGCTGTCCTTTTTGATGGACATTTCTAATTCGCGTTGTCGCAGCAGAGAACAATGAAAGACAGCATGCATCTCGAATATTACTTGTTTGAAATGTTACCGTCATGACGACGTTTTAAAACTGTTAGTTATAGGGTAGAGCGCTTGAGGGATAGTAAAAGTATTTTACCGGGGTAAGAGTGGGAGAAAAGAGAACGTCACCTGTCTTATCACGATTCTAGGAAAAAGGCGCATACAAAAATAGACAAGACTCGAAACTCCGATGGGAAATTTGAAAAGAACAAACATTTATTACATGGACATAAATATCAAAGAACAAAATAGAATTTTTACAAAAAAAAGCTTGCACAAAATATTTCTTTGTGCGCCTTTTTAGTTAAGGCTAGATAACCAGATGAAAATATAGAATTATAGGTTCACCAAAAAGATACATAATTCAAACTATAAATAATCGAAAATCACTAGCTTGGTGATAAGAATGAAACATGTGAAGAAAAAGGTACGCGGCAAAGACTCAAGAAGGAAAGGACATAGTCTACAGATTCTGGTGTCATATACAATTTTCGCGTTGCCATTAGTTTCAAGGGCGAAGAGTTATTCAAGAGAAACGATTGTAGTCAATAAGATCCTTCGCCTGTTCCTCAACAAATCATTTTTCTTTTCTTTTTATGTTTTCAGGAAGTAAGCGATCATGACCCTCCACATCTTCCTGCCGCTTGTAGCTCTTAATAAGTTTTGTCTCTTTGTGTTATGATGTTGATTTGGGGTTAGTAGAGACAAACGCCAAATAACACGTAACAATAAAAAGGGTTTTAATAGATTGGTAAAAAGGTACAGAAATCGCCTGAGTTGTCAATAACTAGCTCAGCTAAGAACTTCTCTGTCTATCTATCTTCCCCATGTCAACTGACATGCCACTATTTAAAGTCTTTGTTCACAGACGCAGACAAGTTCATCTTCAAGAGGGGTGGTAGGTTTCCGACACAACACTTTGTTATTTCTTCCAAACCCTGTTCTGCCATCCATTTGCTCAAGCTCATCAAGTATGTTACGTGCTGCTTTCTTCTATCTCTCTTTCCTTCAATCTGTCTCGTGAGTATCAGGTTTTCCAAGCCCTCATTACGCGCCCCAGAAACCATTACTGTCTTTTCCTGATGTTAAGTATAAGTTTCCGTTTTGTTTCCATTCTCTCCAAAACCTCGTTGTTGCTCACATGTTCGGCTCATGGTACCTTAGCATCTTTTTATAGAATCACATTTCTGTTGCTTTAGGTTTCTTCATCTTTGAGGACATTGTTCAGCATTCGCTGCTATACAGGAGGACAAGTATCACGTAACAGTTCAGTACACTTTTCTTTGTTTCTAACGAAATTTGTCTGTCTCTTAATACTTTGCTTAGCTTTTGGAATGCATCTTTGGTCATCTCAATACGTCTTTGGATCTCAATATTAATCTGTATAAGGGTTCAAAGAATGATATTGATGCTACTATCAGCAGTAATGTCCGCAAACTCCTTTAATAAAAGGGAGATCTGAGGTAAACTGGAGAATATAATCCGAATGTTTTATCTATCGGAGGGAATAATTAGCGAAAATATCGTACAGCCGAGTCAGCTGCGTGGCTCTTGCGTCCGAAGCTACCATATCTGGCCTCCATAGGTGATAATTTCCTAAAAAGTAAGAAATTAGAAAGTAAAAAAGGATCTCGGGGTTGGGGTGGGGGTCTTCTAAAATACATAACGTATGTAATTGTTTATATATGTACATTATTATTGTGAGATCGGAAACTACCTACACAATACTCTTCCAGGCCTATATTAAGTAGGCTACATAACACTCTAGAGAGAGTGACACAGAGTGACACAGAGAGACAGTGAGAGTCTCGTACGACTACCAGTGTTGGACACTAACTTATAGTAAGCTCCGCTTACACTATCTCTGTAACCTGTTGTTAATATATCTTTCTTACATCTAATCCGTGTTCCGTGTTTTACTTCTGTGGTCCCAACTTTGGACTCACATCAATTATATATGTTCCAAGGGTTGTTGTAGCCGGGTGTGGCATTGGGGACAAGCTCCCATTGTTTATAAAATGACTTCATAATCTCCGAGTATTTTAGGCTTGCTTCCCGATTTAAATATATTTTTTCTTTTTCTTTCTGCTTTCCTTTTTCACAATTATCAAACTTTTGTTTATATTTGTATATTTTCCACGATTCTTTTGAAATTTGTCTTGCTTTCTAGCGATTTTGTTCATATAACATGATATATATATTTTAAAAATAAGTTAATTTTGGAGAGATGTGGGCTTCTGAAATAAGTAGCTGACACCCTAACAGGTGCTACCACTCAGGGTCAGGGTGCACCTGGGAACAACAGCAATTAAGAAGTGGTTCCACGCTCCTCAAAGCCTCCTGAACAGAGGCCTTGCTGTTGGATGTAGTTTATCGTCTTATCCAGGATACGGATGTAGTTTGTCGTTTTACCCAGGACGCTGATGTAGTTTATCGTCTTACCCAGCACGCGAATGTAGTTTATCGTCTTACCCAGGACGCGGATGTAGTTTATCGTCATACCCAGGACACTCTGTTTTTAATAGGCAAAAATTATACTTATTAACTTTGCATTTTCTATTCTCATTTATTTTTTATCAATTGATAATTTAGCAGTTAGTACTGTCAAAAAGATTTCATGTATTATTTTTTTATTTTATTTTATGTTATAAATAATGACGTCATAATCTCTGGATATTTTAGGCTTACATCCCGATTTATATATTTTTTCTTTTTCTCTCTGTTTTCCTTTTTCAGAATTATCAAACTTTTCGATATTTGTATTTATTTATGTACGACTCTTTTGTAATTTGTCTTACTTACTAGCGATTTTGTTTATAACGTTATATATATATATATATATATATATATATATGAAGAAATATATTCTTAAGGTGTGCTATATTTATGGGATAAAGTGCTCAATATCAGAGATAGAGCATGTGTAAATATAAAAGTGAACATTGAAGTCAACACTTAGAGGCGACAGGCTGTTTCATGATAGACGCAATCGTCAGGCCTGACGATTGCATCTACCATGAAACAGACTGTCGCCTCTTAAGTGTTGACTTCAA